GGCACCGGGACATCACTTCCGCGGCATCGTTGGGGTGGTCCGGGGTGGAGATGTACAACTGGGTGTCATCTGCGTACTGATGAAACTCCACCCCGAAACCACGGATGATCTCACCCAGTGGCTTCATATAGATGTTGAACAGGAGAGGCGAGAGGACCGACCCCTGCGGTACCCCACAAGTGAGGCATCTCGAGGTCGATAAATAAATAAATAAAATATAATAAATGAAACATAAATAAAAACAATAAAAATAGCATAAATGCAAATAAAATTAATAAGCACATGTGGAATGTGGAATGCAATATACCACAGACAAAGCTCCTTAAACATAATCCTCAATCAACAGATTTATCATTATCAGGGTCTACTAAGAACCTGGCCATTATGCTTGTGAGAAAAATAAGGTTTTTACAGATTTCTGGAAACCCAACAAAATCAGGGCAACTGAATCTCTAGGGGAGGATGTTTGATAGGCTAGGTGCCACAATAGAAGCAACTTCTCCTGAGTCCCAGAAGATGGAACTGTTTCCCTGAGTAGACCCAGAACATATCCACTCTGCTCAATAGATAAAAACTTATATGTAAAATATATAAATGTCTGTTCTTTTTTCTCTTTCACTTTTGTAATGCTTCATTGATGACATTAACTGTGCAATTTGAATTTTTCTATCCTTCTATGCAAAAAAATGAAATGAATTCTTATACAAGTACACTATTGTTTATATAAAACATAAGAGAAATACAGCATTAGGATAACAAAGCTTTCTAAAATAATCAAGATGTTTAGTGTAAACAGCTTTAATAAGTTTAATAAGTTTAAACATAAGCTCTCTTTTAATATAGAGAAATACTGCCATAGTTACTAATATTGCTATATCACTTATATAGATAGAAATTACAATACAGCTTTAAAACTCATTTCTATTTCGATGTTGATTCAAGATACGGTTGTTTTTTTATATAGAGAGCTAACCCAGTTAAATCATTTACGTTAAAACATTTTTTCAATTATTCTTTGACTACCTAGTAAATGAGATGAGATGAAATGAGAGAACATAAAAGATTTTGCTGTACTTGTTTGCTGGAATTTACTAAACTATATGGCTGGAACTACTAGGCAATACATAGTAAAAGTTTCACTTTGCAATTTTAGTTATCCACTACCTGCATCATCCAATAACTATAGTTTTTTGTGCAATGATCAAATCATTTAATATACTAAAACACATAAAAGTGTATACAAATACTTTGAAAGCCAACAATAAAAACTGAAGGACTAAGTTTGCCTTGGCTTCCAGTGTTTGACAAAATTATCCTTTTCAAAATGTTACATGCTGTTCATATTATGAATTGTGGATAGAAAAATATTAATTATTGGATTAGTGACATAAAGATTTGGCTGACATGACTAGCTGTTTTTATGTTTACATTTCTAATAACAGGAAATGATGTCTAATCAGTAAGCAACTGAAATGCAATCCCTTTTATTTAAATTTTGAACAGCGTTATAGGTGACCCATATGATTTTCAAATTTTTGTTGTAATCTTTAATTTTAGTTTAATCTTTTTAAAGTAATATAAAAAAATCTGTAAGGAAGACATATAAAATACTGGATATGATTATTTATGGATTCAAGTATAAGAAATGTTTTGAATTTGTATTGTTTCTCCCATTACCATCCCTCTATCCATTTGTAGCTCTTGGCTTGAGATGGCATGGCTAACAGATGATCAATGTGTCATTCCCATTTTGCTTGTTTCTCTTGTCATGCTGGTGGATATCTCTTCACTTTTGTTCTTCTTTAATATAACGCTTACAGATGTTTCAGAACACAATTTGACTTCTGACCTTGGGGCTTCTAAGGTCAGGGTACTCAGGGCCTGTGAAATTATCACAAGCAGAGCTAAAAAAAATTTCCCCATTGCAGAAAATAAGCAATAAGTAAGAAGTTAAAAAGGAGCTTTGTCAGATAGACAAGATGGTCTCAGTAAGGGTCAGCTTCTATAGTCTGCTGTCTCTGCAGGAGGCATGTGCATGGGAAGAAGAATTTAATATATAATTCTGGCACATCACGAATCTATCACAATGCAAAACTAGATCTAAAGAATAAATTTGAAAGAAGAGTAGGTTTAAAGTCTAAATATGCTATGAAAGAGAATCAATACACTTAATAGGGATTGACAAACATTAAGCAGCCAGCAATATCTGGGGTTTTTTTCCCTCTTACTTAAAAAAACCTATAGATGCTTACTGAATAAAACATACTTAACAATGTAACTACAGTGACTATTTTTTAAAAACAAAATCAGCTAAAGACAATTAATAGGAAATGAACTTCTTTCTCTAAGTAAAACCCATGTTTTAAAAAAATGTGATTCTTGTATATCACAAATATTCCAGTGCCCCTTACCAAATAATAATACTAAAGAAAAAAACTTTTAAAGAAGGCCTAAGTTTAAAAAAAGCAAGAGTACATAGGAGGAGGAAAGAGAAATCAGGCATTTGTATGGATAGCCTGGAACTTGAGATAGTGTCAGGACAACTGAGGTTCAGCAAGAAGCTTCTTCATATATCTCCCAAGGAAGAGAAAAACAATCTGATTCTTAATATTTACAGGCATCAGAGGAAAAGCAAAGCTACTTGATTTCAATTTTGATATAGTTTTCTACAATAAGAGGGTATGTAGGAAGTAAACCGATGTCTTATGTAGCTGGAAGTGCTGGTAACATAAGGTCTGAATAGAGTCCTTGAGATGTGATATCTAGCTCTGATGATTCTCATCCTTTAAACAATGGGAATGGCCTTGGTTTCCTGTTTTGCATATTTTGGGATGTAGATAGAAGATATCAGATTGTTGCTGTAGAATGTTTCCATTAGATAGTTTTATATGAAGGAAATTCTTAAGAAATTATTTTATCATACTGTGTAGTTTTTTTGTATGTTGTACTGAGATCTGAGGATTAAATTTGATCAAATATGATGTTAGAAAGTGGCCTCTCAGCATAATGTACCTTATTCCTAATGACAGCTTCTTTAATTATAATGTCATAAGCATTCTTGTGTTTCATCTCCTTCTGCCTTGCTGAGATTGTTGCATAAGGGGAGTATTTATTGATGACTGTGGTTTGAATTTAGTGAAAGAATTCAATATAGAAATGCAATTTATTGTTAACATCTGTCTGGAAGTATCCACACAAAATTTAGTTTTTTATGCTTTTGAAATCTATAGTTGTGTGTTATCTCAGGATTGACAATGGCTGTATATCTGCCTTATGTCTTTTCTTGAAAGTATTCCTTAACTCTTAAAGGGTAAAAAGTGTGCTTCAAAATCCTCAGAGTTGTATATTTGGGGGGGGGAGGAGGATTACTGAGGTAAAAGGATAAGCCTCATGCAAGAATTGACTCTTCACAGTGGCTGAATGTGTGGTTGGATAGATTCACAGTATTACGGGTCTGTGGATAGAAACCTTAAGACATCATCTAGGCCAGTGGTGGCAAACCTATGGCACTGGTGCCAGAGGCGGCACTCAGAGCCCTCTCTGTGGGCACTCGTGCCACTGCCCCAGCCTTGCCTCCCCCCACAACTCCCTCACCAGCAGCCCCCCTGGAGGAGAGTCGCCCTAAGCGTGGCCCACGCGGAGCAGCACAGCCAAGGACATGGCAGCCAGGCAGCCTAGACAAGACTCTGCCCTCATGCCCCATCGCGCACAATTGATGCTGCAGGGCGCGGGGAGAGGGCGTGGCCACCATGGCACTGCTGGGCTGCCTGGGCGATCTACGGCGGGCCCTGGAGGCGGGGAGTGGCCCTGCGGGCAGGTGGGGTGGGGGCGGGGCCAATTTTTGGGCACTCGGTCTCTAAAAGGTTCGCCATCACTGATCTAGGCCACCGGTGTCAAACTCACCACGTCACATGATGTATCGCGACTCTTTTTACATTGCCGGCAATGGGATGGGCACGGCTTCGGTATGATGAAACCAGCCTGTGGGCCGGCAGGTTGACACCCCTGATCTAGGCCAACCTCTCCTCACGGCAGGATCCATTAAACATTCAGACTCCAATGAAGGAAAACTTACCATTTTATGTCACAATCTATTTCACTGGCTGACATATCATACAGAAGAAAGAGCCTGTTAATGTGTAGACCAGAGGTCCTCAACCCTAGTCCATGGACCAGCAACTGTTCCGTGAAAACAAGCAAAACCTTACA